TTTATATTGTATATAATAATAAATAATATATAATAAATTTATATTATATATTATATATTATATATATATATATAATTTTGATTATTCTTACCATTATGTATAAAATACATTAATGAAAATATTAAAACAAACATATAAGTAATCTGATTAACACAATTCACATACTGTAACTCTACACACTGTATTCTAAGATTCTACCGTAATTTCAAGAACATATTTGATAGACGACAACAACAACAAAATAAATGATACTTACTGTAAAATTAATATTTTAAAGTTTGAATAACGTAATAATAATCATCATGAAATAAACAGCTGTTTTCCAAGAGAAAATATATCAGTCAACAGTTTGATCCAACCAGTTTTACACAGTTTTCTTTCTATTTTATCCCGAATCGTTTGTCTTTGCACTTTCTACCTAAGCTTGGGGGAAAAAAAAAGAAAAGAGAGAAAGAGAGAAAGACGAAGGGTGTAATGGTGGGGTGGTGATGGTGGTGTCTTACCTTTTCTATTACATCTTGCTACCGATTCGATCCTTCTTGTCTTTGATCTTGTCTATTTGCACGTTAGCAAAGCTCGTTAAACCGTACACCGAGGAAAACAAAGGATGAGAAGAAGAGTGGCGAATGTTTACCTCGGTTAATCGATAGACTTCTATCTTTTCTACTCGTTCTAAAATCCACCATTTTCTATCCTCCTCCTCTTCTTCTTCTTCTTCTTCTTCTTTTTTCCTTCAATTATCTTTCGTCTCTATTTCTCTCATTTTATATATATATATATTTTCTTTTTATTACATTTACTAGTTGTTAATCAAATATTTTCATTTTGGCAATATTTTAATATTGTATGAATATATCTATATATATATATATATATATAGCGGACCCAACAGACGTTGTCCTGTACACTGACTTCAACCTATAAACTTGTCGTATAACAATTTATAAATAAAAAATTAATTAAATAAACAATTTAAATTGGACCGAAATTGTAAATCTAAACCATTCTCGAATCCACTTGAAGACACACACAAAATTTCATTAAAATCGGTCCAACCGTTTAGAAGGAGTTCAGTGACATACACGCGCACAGAAGAATTATACAAAAATACTATGTTGCACATTATTCATTGAACATATACATACATACAATCAGATACGTRTTTTACAAGTACATACTAAACAATATTCTCATATACATAAAAAAAAAATAATCTTAATCAATCATTTTTTTATTTCATTTCAGTTGGTCCAATTGCAGTTAGTAAAACACCACCAGAGATGTCAGTCATGGAAAAAACATTTACCGAGGTGAATCCAGGTGGTAAAGGATGTCCAAAAACTTGTATAGCCAGACACCGTGTAGCCATAATCATTCCTTTCCGTGATAGACCACAACATCTTCAAACTTTACTCTTCAACATTCATCCGATACTTTTGCGTCAACAAATCGATTATCAAATTTTTGTGGTTGAACAGGAAGGTGAGTTAATCATCTCTAATACGATAGATTACTTTAATAACTTATGTTACTTAATTTTTCTTTTTCTGTTTTTTTTTTTTTTT